TAGGTAAAGTTATAGTAACTGTTTTACCTATAATTTGGTGTATATATTTTTTTTTAATCTGACCCTGCACCTGCCCACGGGGGAATTCAAAACGATACAGCCTCACTAGATTTTTTATTTAACATAATTAATTAGTACTTATGAAATTTTAACAGTATGCCTTGCTTTACTTTGTAATTTTAATAATTTTTAACTTAATTTGTGTATATTACTACTAGAGTATAATATTCCAAATTTTTTTGTAACATGTTGCTATATAAATCATAAATAAAAAAAAATTATTTTTAGTTTCACCTTTTATTTAACAAAAAAATTTTTACAATTAGAATCAAATTTTATAATACGTTCAATTGAGTAGATAAAAAGATCTAAATTGTTTTTTTTAGTTAATGTAAATTATTTTTTAAATAGTTAAATTAGTTTTGAATATTTAAATTGTAGAATCTTTTTAAACACCAAAAGTAACATAGAAATGATTACTATTATTTATATATTACATTAAAAATGCAAAAAAAATATTGAACTTTCTTGATAAATTAAAAATAAATAGTAATTATACCATTTCCTAGCTGCATATTAATCTTAACAATACTATTTTATAATTCTCGTAAATTTTTTTATTAAATAATGCAAATTTTAAAATTGAAGTTGAGCTAAAGTTATAGTAACAAATTAAACTTTTTCTTTATTAAAAACTTTCAAAAAATCAGCTCTAAAAGACAATAAAATAGATTGAAAATGATATTTTGTACTGATTATTTTTGACATATTAAAAATCGAAATCAACATAATTAACCACAAATTATCTTCTGAAAATTGTTATATCATGCCCTTCGATATTTATACACATGTATTATCATATATAATAAAATATACTACATGATGCAATCATATATTATACTTATAAACCATAGAACTACTAATTAGGAATAATGAAAAAGCCCTGTTAAACATTCACAAACAAAAATAACATACATAAAACAAAATACGTATATGAATAAAAATATACAAAAAAACACGTCTTAGCCGACTCACAACTATGTAATATGTATGACTATGACTATGGCACATATTTATGCCTTGGATGTATTCTTATCGCCAATCCACGGGGAATAATATTTATATACATGTATTATCATATATCATACTTATAAACCATAGGTTTATTTTTTATTATAGTGATTTTAATCACTGTCTGATGTCTTCTATACTTGTCCAAACTATGCCACATCCATACTGTGTTACCGTTTTTAATGTAGCGGTTGAAAAGAAATTATAAAAAATTTATATAAAGGGTAATTTTTTTTTCGTAAAAGAAATTAAATAATAATAATAATTTTTCTTTTATTGTCGTAACACAAAACAGCAAGTAAAAAGTATAAAGATAAAGATGAGGATGCCTGCTATCTAGGTATTCACATGCGTGTTGACGTACAGCAATCACCGTGCTCGGCTGACACTCCGGGTTAGCTGTGGGTGTCGAAAGGCTGTTGTTATAGAAAGGGAATAAGGGTAACACCTAGGTACGAGGTGCAGACGAAGTGCAAGAGACAAGTACTCTGAAATGTTGTGGAAGAGAGTAGATAGGTTAAAAAGTAAAAAACAAAGACTTTAGTTTAAGCAGTAAGCCGGACAGCGATAACCGAGTACTGAGACTGATGAATGACACTAAGCATTAGAGTCGACTGACCAAGATGGTCAGGTCTTTTGGGTTTTTATAATAATTTGAAGTATTGCCAATTTGGCAATAAATATTAATTGTTAATTCATCAGTCTCAGCAAGCGGATGTTCTGCCTGTTTTTTTTATTATAATAATTCTCACAATAATGGTACCGTGACACTATCAAATATAAAAGACAAATATTACTTTTAAAAATATGCTATTAACATATACCAAAGCTATAAATATTATTTTAAAAATAAGTATTGTAAAATATTTATTGGATTAAAAGTTATTAAAGATTGTAATATCTTTGTATATGTATGTTTATCGCATAGAAATAAATATAACTTGATTAAATACACACAATATTTAATTTTGAAATAGTATACAGAGTGTTCAATAAGTTCAGAAACGCCGATTTTTTAGAGCCGCTATTGATTTTTTTAACAATTTTTTTTTTAGAGGCTATTTATAATAACTATTGTACTATTGTCATGTTGTGCTACATTTTTTATAGAGAGTTTTTAATTCATGTGGTTTAAATTCTTTTTAACAAACATAATACTATGAGGTTGTCGTGTTAGGAAAAATATCACATACTCTTCCTTACACCGGACATATGTTACAGGATGAACCACTACTTTTCTACATAAATAATTCATTATGTAATTAATTTAGTACTTGACTTATAATATGATATAATATGATATTATGATGATATTATTACTTTCAAAGTTTCTAAGCTTGCAATATTTATTTAATTTTTTTTTTTTAAAGTTTTATCTATTAAAATTAATAATATTAAATACTAAAAAGTATTACCTATAGAATCTTATTGCTCTGTAAGCAACATTTTGTACTCTTTTATTTTTCACAGATTGATTTTTGTTTTGATGATTAATTTTTAAATAATGTACACATTGTTTCTAATTTTGTTTTAATAGTTTTTCCAGTGGGACACTAGTAATTATTAATTTTAATTTTTGATGAAGGTAACCATTTAACTCAACCATCCAGTCACTCGAAATATGATATTGGTTTATATGTAAAATTTACATCTAATGTAAGTGATGAAGAAAAAATTGATATTTTACGCCATGTATGGATTCCGGATGCAAAATTTAATTTTCCTACTACAGATAATGGTAAATTTAAACGATCATTCCAGTTGAAGTGGCTGGCTTATTAAAAAATTAAAGAAGGTTGTTTCTGTACGTTTTGAGTACTATTTTTGCGCTATCATAATGATGGTAAAGATTCTAATAATTCTGTTGGTATACTGGTTGTAAAACCTCATACCAATTTAAAAAATGTCCTTAAAACTTTTAAAAACCATGATAAAACTGCTTACCATCAGAGTGATTTTCAAACTGCTGAAAATATTATATCAATTTTTGATAATATAATAAAGATAATATAATAATACAGTTAAGTACACAACGAGTCAAAGATATTTCAATGAATCGTGAAAAATTAAAACCAATAATCCAGACAATTAGGCTTTGTGGGAGACAGCAAATAGCTTTGAGAGGACATGAAGATTGGGGTCGTGTAACAATGAATGAACTTGAAAAAAATGATGGTAATTTTCGAAGTCTATTAAGATACCGTGCTAAGAGTGGTGATACTATTTTAAAAGAACATTTAGAAACTTTTAGTTCCAGAAAGTTGTATACTAGTCCTATTATACAAAATGAAATTATAGCTTTGATGTATATAAAATTTACTTCGGGATTTTTTTTAAATATCTCCTAAGTGTCGGTTTCGGTATTCCAAAACATTTGGCAGTTTTATTCCATGAAGAATTGTTATCAGAACGATAGTGTTTTATTGCTCTTAATATTGTTTTCTTGTCCCATAATAACTCTGTTTTTCTTATGCATACTTTTGTTATGATGACATAATAATATAATAAATATTACTAATTTATAATATTTTATTTATTAAAACCATATATTACATTGTGTGATTTCATAATGGGGTAAATTGACGATTGTCATCTTACCCACATCAATTTGACCCAGCAGGCTACATTTTACAGAATACAATACATTTTAAATAAAAATAAGTTAAATATATTTCAAATTTGTATTAAAATAATCTTTAAAAATATACTTTAAAATAAACAAAAATAAATTATAAATTATACTTACTGTTCTTAAAAAAACCTTAAGCCATGTGCCATAAAAGTTAAAATTGGAACTAAGTAGTGACACAGCAGTAAATAAAACTGATTGGTCAAATTTCTAAATTTCTAAAGTCCTTTATTGTTGGTATTATACTCTTATGTACCACGAAACCTGTACCGAATTGGCCAAAATAGATACTGTATTAAAAAATATGCTATTTTAGTGTTCAAATTTTCGATTTTGAATTTTATTTTATTATAAAATATCTTACAATAGTTTTTGAGTTAGAAAAATATTTTTAACTCATTTGATTTTTATCTAATTTAGATTCAATAACTTTAATGAATATCAATGACTTCATTACTGTAATCTCCCCTCATTTGAAGATATTTCTTACTCACATTATAGTTTCTTTAACCAACATCAAATTATTTCTAATACAATGTACTTTGAAACAAAAAGAAAAAAACTAACAAAAATCTCGATTTCTAAAAGTTATTGGCCATTATAGCTAAGGATGTAAGTTGTTTATCCCTAAAATTATCTGTAATATAGTCCGGTGGAACCGGTTCACTTTGTCGATGGTCACCCAGCTTAGCACGAATTAACAAACGGGAGGATGTAGCAGTGTCGCCATTCAGCGGTAAAGCTGGATTCGCAATGTGGCCGCATCATGCTGTAGATTGATATGACTTAAATAGATATATAACTACCCAAAGTTGACCACTTAATCGTGCTATTTTTGAACCCTTTTATTACAAAAAGCATTGTTAACAATTTATGACCTAATAACTACAAAAATTTTTCAGATATATTTTATTCTATGAATTTTGTATCATATTAAACTAAAATAATTTAAATTAATTGATTTATTACAAAATTTAAATAAAAAAATTGGAATATAAATTTTTATAAAATTTTTGTGAATATTTTACAAAAATAAATATCAAGACATATTAAAAATCCAATTTGAAATTATTTTAATATTGACACTAATGAGCGGATACAATTATTTAACTAATCTCAAAATACAAAATTTCAGTAAAGTTTCTTAAATTAATGGAATAAATAATACAGATTTCTAAATATATTTAATTCATATGTACATGTTCAATGAAGGGTATGACGTAATAGCGTTATAATTTAGTAGTATAAATAATTAACAGATAAGCTAGAAAATTTTTTACAAATTATAAGTGCAAGTGAATTTGTTGTATATGTTTTATTTGTAAAATAAAATTTTCAAAATTCATTTGTCAATCGGGTAACTTAATTTTTTAATAATTATTTTTATAATTTTATTTAATTTCTATTTATTTTAACCATTACAGTCCGTTCAAGACATACGTCATTATCTCCAATAAAAGTTTTTAGGAAATTTTTATACTTTGGGAAGTTTAAGGAGGGATGGGGCTCTAAATTTTAGGTTTATTTAATACTATACAAATAGAACTGCTCTAGGTCGAGCATAAAACTAATATGTTATTGCCTTTCTCTTATATGATTATATTTTTTACTTTTGTTCTATTTTTGGATAATTTTAATAAAGTAATTTATATTTACCACCCACTAACCATTCATTAGATCAATGAATGGTAAATTAGTAAATCTTGATAGCTAACCATAGTATTACATTCAACAACTTATTAGGTAATATTTAGAATATAAACATTCCTGAACAATCAATGTATATCAACATCATATAAGCAAAAATTGATAAAACGTTTCACAATACAATACTATATATGCTGTATATGTTTATCTCTTACAACATATATAGTATAATGATTTTAGTAGTGAAAAAATGTAAATTATTTCCTTTATAATAATTTGTAGCACCCTCGGAAAATTAATTTGAGATTAACCCAAGTACTAATTCAACGGACTAAATGGACAAAACCTTACACATATATACAATTTAAGCGATTAGCTCACAAAAATAAAAAAGTCAAATGAAAATTACAAAATTAATTAATACTTCAACTATGTTAATTTTAACACATTTATTTCTAGGTATTTTCCAGTTAAAAATAATGCATTTCCTGTTCATGTGCTTATGCCTTATTGTAAGTTACATGTTAATATTTCAAAAATACAGTTTCTTTGATCATGATGGAAATTATGTGTATAAAATCAATGTTGTACTTATAGTTAAATAATTTTTATTATTCATTAATTTATGTTAGGTTAAAAATTGGATAAATTGATTTAGATATAAATTAATACAAATTAATTAAGTGCTAATAAATTTTACGGTTGTTTCATTTGTTATGAACCAATTAATTAGTAAAAAATTTTTAATAATATTGAGAATTTTTTTTGTGTCATTAAAATATATTTTTTTCTCAATTTATCAATCATAAAATATTTTTTATGTTTATTTCTTCTATCATATAAGGGTGTCAACAATATTATGCATATTACCGTTTTTTAAATAATAACATAAATAATTGACTAGATTACTAATAGATTATAATCTTATAAGGTAACAACTGATCGATAACAACTTTTGGACTAGTATTTTAGAAATTATTGACATATTTTTACCTAAGCGGAACAAGAAGTGAATATTTATAAAAATATCTGACAACATCCATGTCTCACCTCCAGCCATTACTGTAATATGTTAGTAACTTCCTGTAAATACTCGTACAAAAGTAGTTATCGATCAGTCATTTTCTTAATTAGATCATTATCTATTAAATAAGCTAGCTAATTAATTTTGTTATCATTTGAAAAATAAAGTTTAATCCCTCGTTATCTATACATAGTGCTGGCTCGTGTCTTGGACGACGGGGCGATCGCAACCGCCCTACTAAAATTAATTGTATATTCTTAATTCTACTTTATTATTAAAAATACAAATTTTTAATTAGTGAAATAGTTAAAATACATTTGTGGTGTGCGAACACTAAAGTTGTTTCCCTCAGTATATGTGCGTACCACTCGCACTCATGAGCAGTGTTTGGACGACCAACAGCATTGTCCCAGCAATATTCTGATTGTATATTATAAACGGGACGTTGCAGTTGTGTACGAGTGGGTTGGGTTCAGCTGCGATCTTGTGTACGGGTTATGGACGACCAGCATCGTTGTCCATTCAGTAAAATATTAGTAAATTGGGTAATTTATTTTTAGAATTAACTACGTCATTATCGGTTGCTATAATAGTTTAATGGCTATTATTAATATTTTCATTTCTATTTTCTACTGCGACCTTTAAAATAACAATATGTGTATTATGAATTATTTTATTATATTTAATTTGACAATTTTTTATACCTATGACTATTGGTATTATATTTAAAGTCGCATCCCCACCACCAGCATCCTCGACCCTACACTGATTATACATGTATTTTAACTAAAAAATTCGAAACTACAAAATGTTATATCAACTAAACATATTAAGATATATTAAAAATGTAAACACCATTAACTAATAAAAAAAAAATCCTCAAATGTTTTATTAATTTCAAAATATGTGTTCCTATTTAAATATAATAGTCTCTAAACCTGCCTACAGGGGGGGATTTAAAATGACAACTTTTTTACAAAAAATTTATTTTTTCAACTTGACTTTTGAAAATTCTGGAAAGTTTGACAGTTTTATATATATCTTTAATTAAAGCTAATGTAATATAATTTATCATTGTTCGCGCCAAGCGTGAGAGCTGAACTAGTTGGATGTGGTCAGCTGATAGCGCTTGTGCGCCACCAGCTGTTAGAACGCCTTATCAGCGGCCTGTGCTGTTCGGTCGTTTTTTATTCAAAATATAATGTATGTACTTGTTGTATTATACAGTCTAGGTTAAGTTACGTTGATTTTCATTTTAATTAATTATTGTTTTTGTATGAATTATTAAAACATTGTTCAAGTTTTGATTTTAAAATATATTATTCATATTATTATTTTGAAGACATAGACAAGTTGTTTTCATATAGAAATTAGAACTTTTTCAATTTAACTTTTGAAAGTGTTCCGGAAAGTCTGATACTTATATACATATATATATATCTTAAATTAAAGCTAATGTAATATACTTTATTATGGAAAAAAAAAATTTCTGACTTTATTTTATCTTCACGGTAAATATGGCTACCAAATGATATTTTTGTGTGAATATTTTCGATTTTATATTTTACATTTTTAACTTTGTTATGCTATAAATTTTTGAAAGATGTATGGATCAATATAATTTTTTTATGAGAAATAATATTTTTTAATAATCCCTTTTTCATTTTACATACTTAATATTAATCAGGATATTAATAAGGAACTAGCAGATCATGTAGCTTTTGGAATAATACACCAATTTTTTAAAATTAACACTATCTAAAGATTTGAATCGAAGCGTTTTATTTTGATAGTGATTTTAATCACTATCAGATATCATTATACTTGATCCAACTATGCCACGTCACCACTGTGCCTCGACCCCTCTGTGCTGGGTTTTTTTTTAAATATATTTTTTTCTCGCTAATTTTAACGGGTAAATTTGTATTATGTAAATTTGTTTGTATATTGGTCGGCTAAACCTGTTTCCAGTTTCTTGAGCCCTTCGGGGCTGGTAACGTATAACTTTTAATTAATGTTTTGAGCCAGAATTTTTTTTTTTTTTTTTAGTACGCCGTACCATAAGCAAGTGTGGCGAATTTTTTTTTTTAAATTTTTTGTAGGTGTCCCGATTTTTTTTTTTATATTATTTAATAAGGCAGGTCCCTCAACATGACAGGCGTGTTACAACACCACCTGTCATGGTATATATATTTTTTTGTGATTTTTTTTATATATAGATATTATGTGGTATTGGATGATGCGTATATATTATTAGTACAATGTGGTGACGTAGTGCATTTTATTCCCAACGTCTTGCAAGCTAAGTCTAATTGTTTAAAACTAGTCGCTTACTTTTTTTTGGGGTATTCCACCTTCAATGGACTCGTGTATTTTTGTATTTTTCTTTTCTTTCAAAAATCAACTTCTCTTAGTTTATAAGGTAAGGGCAACGGCCTTGTATAAGCTCATTCATGATCATTATGGTTATGTGAAACCTGTCACGAGGTTTTTGTGTACATCAACTATCAATGACTCGACGGACATCTAATACAATTTTAGTACTTTTCTATTTTTTTTTTTATCTTAAATTGTTTTAAATGTACAAAATTTAATTTTTTTTTAAATCCTACTGTGGTCCGACAATACATTGTCTCGCCCAGTGGGTTGACGACCCTTTTTTTTTTAATTATTCAATGCGCCATGAAAGTTACAAATTTTCCGTTGTGGTCAATTAATTCAATTTTTTTTTCATATTTGTAACCTTTCACTGCGAATAATTTAGTGGGTTATGATAAAACAATTCTGAATTTTATTTTTATTTTTTGAATAAATAAATAGTTCGTAATAAATTAATCACTCTGTATAGTTACTATTAAGAATAATAAATAATTTAAATATATTTTTTTGTGGGGATCCCATTAGAATTAGTTCTTTACATAACACTAGTATACACTTCTCTACTGTGTAATATTAT